AGGTGATGGTTATATCACTGCTGATATTAAAGCACTCTTTTGCTCCGATTTTATAGCTGAAATTTTACGGCTTTTGGTTGATAGAAAAGACGGTAACAGATAATAGTCGATGCTAATGTCGAAGACCATTGACTCCTTAATGAGACTTTTTTCAATAAATTATTTATGAGGATGCATTGTTCGTTTTATTTTATTTTATTTTTTTATTTTTAAATTCAAAGACTATTTATTCTATTGAAATTTTATTCAAGTCGCCTGGGTTGGGCGATGCATTTGATGACTGATGTGGAATGTCATGAAAATTAATCGACAATGTAATTACATGTGTATTTATACAAAAAAATAAAATTTATCTATGAATTCATATGTAAAAAATAATCAAAATAATATTTACATTCATATAAAAAGGTTAAGTATGTGTAATTTTTCAATAATCACTTTTAGTTACAAAAACAAAAAAATTGTAGCCGTATGTTGACTTGATATTTTATTTTTTTCGGCATTGTATATGTTATGGAAAGAATTTTTAATAATTTAACTATTGATTGACTTTTCACAATCCTATAATAAAAAAATTAAGTATAGAAACAACATTTTCATAAAATTTTATCTAGTTTCTTTAAAACATTAAATAANGATCGTCACGGTCACGGGGACGACACGTGGATCCCTGTCCGCCGTCGATGACATCGTGGATCGGCACAAATCTGACGCCTCGCGGATCAATTCCTGGATCTGGGCCTCCGGCATCCAGTACTCCCTCAGCCGGAGCTTCGAGCAAAAGAGAACTGGAGCTCGTTCTCGCCGTCAAAGGGGACGTCGACGAAAGTCTCCGAGCACAGGGTGGTCTCGCCGCCGCCGGCGTCTTTTGGTTTGAGGATGAAATTGGTCCGAAACTGGAAGTCGAACAGGCAGCGAGCCCGGCACTGCATACGCCGGTACAAGTCCATATTCCTGCCGTCGTCGATCTGGATCTGGTGGCGGTAATCGTACCCCGGCCGCCGTCGTCTATCCACGGGATTCAGATCCATGACTCTCTTTAGGTCATTAGTTATTTTGGTTGAACGAGGACTTTGTCTTTGCATATGAAAAAATTCAATCCATACTCAGTTTATACTAAAAAAACTCCGACTCAACATATCTAATTCCACTATTTTTAATATTATTAATATAACTAAATAATATCAATTAATTATTTTTACTCATTATATTAACTTTAATTTACTATTCATTAATTCATATAATTTTAACTATTCGTCACTTCATACATCTCTATCCTAATTTTACATCAAATCAATTTTAGTTATTTTATTTTAAATATTATTTTATTATAAAATCAAAATCTTATTAATAACTAATCATACCAATTTTATCATAATTAACTTTGGTTACAAAAAAAACTCATTTGGAATAGATATATTTGTATACAAACATGCCTTGTTTACAAATATACTATTTTTTATTTTGTTTTTAACTAGAGTTATTTTGAAAAAGTTGGTATAGTTAGTGAGATTTTAAGTTTCTATTAAATTATTATTTGAAATAAAATGATTGAAATTGACTTGATATAAAAGTAGGAGATAGATGATTAAAATGGATAGATATTTAAAATTATGTGAGTGTATGAATAGTGAATTAAAGTCAATGTGATTTGAAAAGGATTATTGATATCATTTAATTATATTGACAATATTGAGAATAATAAAGTTAAGTTAAAAGTTTAGTTGAGATCGATTTTTTTTTTTTTTTTATACATATATTTGTAAACAAGCAAGTTCTAAAATTAGTCGCAAATGGTGAAATTCGGGTCGATGATCATTCAGTCAATCGTGCAAGGCACAACGGGCTCTAAAATATATGGGCATTACCATTCACCGCCCCCCTATTACAATTTACCGCTCCCCCTGGACATTTTTGTCCCTGATATTTTTTCCAAAAAGTAAAAAAAAAAAATTATGTTGTTCGGCCGCCGAAACCGAACGGCCCAAATGGCGTCCGGCCCCGACGGCAGGTCGGACCGGCCGGACACCATGTTTTTTTTTAAATAATATTATTATAAATTATTATGTTATATATGCAAAATATTTTTTTAATACAACTAATTTTTTAACCATTTAAATAGTGATTAATTAATTTTTTAAGTGAAATTAATTATTATTAATAGGTGAAATTTTTTGACCAGTGATTAGTTAATTTAATAATATTTAGTAATTATTATTATTCTGATAATTAAAAATATGTTTTTATCCAATAAATTTATTAATGTACATTTTATTTATTAATATAATATTTTTTTGTTTTAAATTATATTAATTTTTTTTCAAATAAATTAATTATTATAATTTTTTATTAATACATTAATTTTTCATTTTAAATTAAAATAATTATAATTTTAAATTATAATTTATAATTTTTCATTATAATTAAATTATAAGTATTATTATAATTTATAATTTTTCATTATAATTAAATTATAATTATTGTTATAATTATATTTATTATAATCTATTATATTTATAATTATAAATTATTATTATAAAAAAAAATAATGTCCGACCGGCTCTTGACCGGCCGGACGCTCGACCAGGTGGGAATACTTACGGCCGCTGGGGCCGTCCGGACGGCCCCGCCGCGTCCGGAGACGACGGCTGGACTAGGCAATAATTTTATAAAAAATAATTTACAACAATATATATATATATATATATATATATATATATATATTGCCGAAGAAGAATCCTTTCCCATGCCGTAGGATTTTTGCGACATTTTTTCGGATTTTTTTGGAAGCTCGAAAAAAGGGGCAGTGAGTAGTAATAGGGGAGCTGTGAATAGTAAATAAGTAAAGTATGTATGCTTTGTACTGACTCATACGTGCATCGCGTCATCCTGTAAATTGAATAATCAATTAGTTAGTTTATATTTTAAAAATGATTATATTTATTATTTTATAAATATGCATAAAGTAAGAAATAATTAATTTCTCTCTATCGTTTCGAAAAAAAAAGAAAGAAATAATTAATTTGTCTTTAATTATATAATTTAAAATCTTAATATATTTTTTCCTTGTTATAAACATTACTACATGAATCACAAATTAAAATAATATAGCATTACTACATGTATCACAAATTAAAAACGATCACATTTATGATAAAAATTTTGTCACAACATATTTCTTATAATAAAAATATTTGTATGTTTTTAAGTAATGTAACCTCAATTGTGAGCGTGACAAGTTCAACATCACCTTGTCAATATAAGTTGGTATTTAAATGACACAATATCAATTTATCATTTAAAATGCGAAGTTTTTAATGAGAATTTAAATATTTGGATGATGAATTTTAATCGTAAAAGTGACGAGACGTTCAATGTCACTGAGAGTATTTCTTTTTTATGACACATTAAAATAACGTGACATAGACATTTTTTTATCACTGTAATGATACAATGTTGTCACAATATAATTTTATTGAAAACAAAAATTATGACGAATATTATTCTCATAGAGTATCAAATTTATTGTGTTGTAATCTGAAGCTAAGAGTTATAAAAGCACAAGGATTTAGACTTCCTTTTCATTTATATATTTCCACTTGGAATAAAAGCATGGTTGAAAAGTTCAAATCATCTTTATCAAAAAAATCACGCACTCTCATGAGTCATGATATATATAATCCACAAAAGAATCATTACTTGATTCAAGAATTTTCTATCCACAATATGGATAATATACATATTTTAACACGTCTCTTGTTAATAGAATAATGTGTGCATAAAATAAACTACTAATCACGAACACTTCATATAACTTTTAAAAATTCGTGAACTTTTTTAAGTTATTAAAATGAATGCGTGATCATTAAAATGAATGCGTGATCACATTCAACCGCTCGAGTCCTCACATGGAACTAGACATAGTTCATCTCATGTAAAGCGTATGATTGATTGGATATATGGATAATCGAAAATGCTCATTTATGGATAATCTTATGAATTGTACATTGTGAGAATTCGATATCTTGTATTGTGCATAATTTAATTTGTCCAAACATAATTTCCTTGTGCATAATATAATTTATCCAACTGATTATAATTTTTATAATTTTCCTGTCATTATTAGTACCAACTATTTATCCAGAATGAGATTAAACCATCCTATCCCATCTATCAAGTAAACGAGGCCTAAGTGTATTAAAGTAAAACAATAACAAATTGGAAGGTCATGCGTTTGTTAGACTGGTTTAATCATTATGTCGGCATACTGATTGCATAAATATGCATACTCTCATTAAACACATTATACTTAAAAAAAATAATTTTAAGTATGAAATATAATAGTATTTTATTTGCAAAATATGACGAGTTGGTCCGTATAACAATTCCAAAAAAAAAAAAAAAAAAAAAAAAANAAAAAAAAAAAAAAAAAAAAATACATAGAGAAGGAGAAACACAATGGAAATTATCCATCTATGGACATTATGCATTGGATAACACAAGACACACCCACTAAAAAGGACGATATCCATCTAAGTAGCTTCCGAGAAGCAACAAGAGAGATGGCGACGTTGGGTAGTGCGCAATATGCGTGCATTTAGCCATTTAGAGCTACTTGACTCGGTCCATGTCCCAAATTAAACGCCGGACAAAACAGTTCAATGATTAGATTTTTTATTTTGAAATTTTATGTCGTGTATGATAAATCTATTAGCCATATTTTGAGGGTGACTAATTTGTTGTATAGATATTACAATCATGATTAGTGGGATGATGTTATTCTTTAAATCCAAACGTGTGGGTTCGTAATACGTACATGTATAAATATGCTATTATACTACATAGTTCGACTCTCCTGACCACAATGAGTATGAGTTAATATATTAACAAATTTATGTTTTGGAAAGCTAGTATATCGTGCATAGAGTGTTGAAAGATCACAAAATCTTGACACTAGTGGAGCATAAAGAACACATTAATATTTTCATAAACACAATAAGAGTGAATTATTATGTTCACAAACTGATGTATTGAATAATTAGCATATCGTACATATAATGCTAAAAGATCACGAAATCTTGACACTGGTGGGATGAACACATAGTAACATTTCCATCAGTGTTCTAAAAATCCTGCGTAAGTATTAAGTGGCACCAGAGTGTCCAATTTTCGTCTTAATGTATTATGTGGTAGGCGAACATTTCTAGTATCTATATCTATATATCTATATAAAGAGAATAACTATTCACTAAAAATAGTAGCCAAAAAATCTTGAAACATTAAATGCAAAACTGTTTAGAATCTTTTAAAATATATGCATTAATTGCTTCCATATAAAATTCCAAATCAGATATGACAAAAAAAGATTTTTTCCTTTAATAATTTGATTTAACATCTGCAATAATTTCATTGATATCCATTATAATAAACTAGAAATTTAATTTTCTGTGATTCATATTGATTATTTTATTCTCAAGATAGACATGATAACATGTTTTAAATTCTAAGCATATTATTTTTTTCACAAATATTGCCTTTTCATCCTAAAATATTTTTGAAAAATTTGTAACATGTTAAGTAATTTTTTCCATCATCTTTATTTCATTACATATATAAAAAGAAAAATAAATTATTCTTCAAATTATCATAATTTACCATTTAAGAGATAACGACTAGATACATTAAATAAGTTTACTAATGGCGAGATAATAAAATTGAAATATATTAACTATTATTTAGGATTTTAACATATGATTTATTTTTATATTATTGTTAACTATGACTATTTTTTTATCAAATTTTTATTTTGATATCTTTCCATAATGAAACTCTTTTAGTAAACTATAAAGCCTTATGATGCAAATCTTGAGTATAGAAGGGATTTAGCTTCTGGCAAGTGCTAAATCAAAGATGTCTAATTATTATAAAAAAATTAAAATCTAAAAAAACATTTATGTAAATTTGTAAAATATTTGTACACAATGTTTTATTTTAGATTTATTTACATAATTTAAATTAATTATATTAATAAATATATTAACGT